GGCAAATGTCGCTCGCGGTAGGCAAGTACTGTTGCAACTACAAGCACAACAATTGGATAACAAATACCTATGATGTGAGCGGCAGAAAAGCTCTCATAACACTCGAGGAGACGCGTGTTGTCTTCCTGATTCTGAAAACGTGCAATTGAAATCGATGTTGCTTGCCATGCGATTATCAGAATAGACTGTACGAGGAGAAGTACTCCAACCCCTAGTAGCTGTAAATGGGAAATGTGCATGTCTCTAAGACGAGAAACCGCTGATTTAAGAAACTGGGTTGCTGATTTTGTTTTAGTGAGAAAGAAGGCGGAGTAAAAAAGAAACACCAAAACTAAAAGAATGCTAGTTGATGTGCAGGAGGCGTCGGTTGGCTTACAACCTACATGGATGATAGTCAGAATCGAAGACAACAACAGAGTGATAAAAAATAAGATCAGTAGATATGGACTTGAATCCATAACTACTGGTGTTCTCCGTTCACGGACAAATATAACAGCCACAGAAGTCAGGACAAGTATGACCAGGCAACTCAAGGTCAGTATGGCTATTCCAGCGGGGTCAGAAACTTTCAGATAAACTATTTCACGAAAGATACACTGTGTCCTTTTAGCGTTTGCATAGTGAGTTTCATTGCAGGCGATGCAATTTAAAGAGCCAGAGGTAAAGCTGACTTGTCCCTTGTCACACTTTTGACAGTGCCAGCAGCATTCTGATTGGCCAACCACCTTTTCGCCTGGCTGGCATTCACGGAAACAAGTAGATACTGGCTTCTTTCCCTTGTTCCACTGGATCAGACTTTGATTGACAGTAAAGCGCGTTTCGTCGCCATATTTTCTCCAGTGGCCAACGTCAATAAACTGAAGACGATTTTTACTGCTGAGATGTAGATTCCTTATCACATAGTCGCTGTTCGTGCGCTCACCGTTTTTATCAAATTTGACCTTTGTGTAGTCAACACCTGAAAAATCAACTTTTGACGCAAAATCGAATAGCGTTTCCGGCAAAATCGGTAAGCTTATATTCGGACACCGTGTTTGATTACAAGTCAAAATATTGTGAACTGCGTGGGCAACAACGTATACAGCATCGATGACATTGGCCACAAAATCAGTGGGAATCTCATGATCCGCAGGAAGAGTGGCACCAGGATCGCAGAGTTTTCTGGAAGGTGACACATCTGATTTTAGGTCTCGATTGTTTTGGGACGCTTGGCATTTCAAGGTTTCCTCCAAGAGTTTTGTAAACCACGAATTATTCCATGCCTTTTGAACAGATGTACTTCTCAAAAAGTGATCAAAGTCAGTCACCGGCTTGGATCTTATTGAAAAACTCAATAATCCTTTCAAAGTGTTCTTACTGATATTAAGCTTTTCTATTTCGGAACTCACCGAATTCCACCCATCACTTGCCACCCAAGTACGATCAGTTATCTCAAATTGCTCCGCTTTTTTCAACAACATCTCTCCTTGTTCGAGATAACTAAATACAATCACAACTTCTGCTCTTTCAGCACTTTTCAATTTAAGCATCGTATCCTCAATTTGTCTATCTGCGTTGGGAGAGCCAAATGAGACAAATTCGTCATTGGCAATGCACACACTCAAATTCTTGGCTGCCGTTTTGAAAGCCGCAGCTCCCATTTTTCCATAGTCATCGTCGCTGGCAATCAAGAACACATAGTTCCATTGAAAGTAATGGACTAACTCCGCCATAGCCTGAGCTTGGAACTGATCCGAGGGAACAGTTCGCAAAAACGAGCCATAACGCGTTTGGTCAGCCAGAATTCTGCTGGTTGAGGCATAGCTGATCTGAGGGATGCCATACAGACCCAGTAACCTTGCCACAGGTATTGATATCCACGAGGAAGCCGGGCCGATAACTGCTGATATTCGTTTATGTTCGAAGTGATTAGTATCAAGGCGGCAACAGTCTTCTAGCGACCTGCAAACCGAATTGGGTCGATATTTCGAGACGATCTCAAGGGCGAAACTCATCGTTTTAGGAATGCTCTGACAAGTATCTTCGATCTCGTAACCAATTGTTTTGTTTGGTAAAAGCGAAGACACATTGTTAATTTTATCAACTGCGTATATCATGGCCATCATCCAAGTGGTCCCCGTGGAATCCAAACGGTCGCACTTTCCTCCATCTTGAAATGTTAACGGGAAGAGACCCTTCAACATTATATCTCCGTCTTTCCAAGTTCCATGATTTATGCCACTGTATTTGTCGATTTGCTGATATGTAAACGAAGCAAACGAACCAACGAAAACTAAACTTGCAATTGCACACAAGCGGCCAAAATGGGCTGTTAAAGTCTCCATAAGTCTTAAAGCCAAGCGATTTAAGTTTCAAACAGAATTTCCTCACTGAAAAACTCGAAATCGGGTGAAGAGTTATCGGTTTGGGATTTGTTTCTGCTTTTTGCTTTAACAGCTGCGTGTAAATATGCCTCCTAAACAATGGCTCGCACAGGCAGTTGTCTCGATATTGATATCGAAATGTCAATTCGTTCATCCGTCAGCGACCGCCTGAGCTGATTAATTCCATAACGAGATGCGAAATTGATGAGGAGAGTAGTTTTCATTCGATTCTGAAATTTAAAATTAACAACATATAATAAATACCTTCCGTGAATTTTGCAGTTCTTTCCAATTTTACTGTCTTCGCGAATAATAAGAATAAAAATTTAAATTGTAAAAGGTTTATTGCTTTTAAGAAGCAAATGCTCGTGTCAATAGCAACGAAACAATGCCGGGGACATTTTTCGTGACGGTAAATGTAAATGTTAGCGACAGTATTTTTCATTCAACAAGAAAATGCAATCTTCTAAAATTATAGGATACAAATCCAACATCTTAATATATTGATGGCAAATTTGATAAAAAAAAAAGTTCCACGATTGACGTTAGGGTAGCCAGGTGACAACTGTCGCTCGCCTCATCGCTCCCGTCGAAAATGTCCTGTCGATAGGGAGCGATAAAGGAGAGGCAAGATTTGCGCAGGCTAGGGTCGGGTCGGAGGGGGAATTTTTGCAGAGGAAGAGCAAGGTTTCACCCTTAGTTATACCAAGCCTACTGAGAATTCTGAGAGACAGCACTCCTGGTAAAAAGGAGTCTAAACAACTATGATGGCGATAACAACCAATAAAACTTAAATTACCGCTGTTTCAAACTTAATCGCTAATTTTTTAAATGTTGGCGAATACTCTTTTATTAGTTGAATTGCGAGGGACTATTTCCAAGTTCAGAAGTGTTAACGTTCTCCATAAAACGTGAAATTAGGTAATTACACGTAGTCTTGCCCATGAACACAACACAGTGACCCCAGCCACGGCTGAACCCGCACCTCTCGATTCGGAGCTGGTCCAACGCGTTAACCATTTGGCCACTTAACGACATGCCTATTTAGATAATATAAGTGGGTACTCGCCCCACACTGTAAGAATAAGTGAACATTGAAAATAAGGGTCATCTCCACGCGTAACTTTCCTTGTCGTGGTGGTTATTTTTGACAAGTTCAGTTTCCCATGCTCGTATAATTGAGAAAACGTCCAGAAGTTTATCACCTTATGAACTAATCATGCTCAATTGTTAACGGAGCTTAACAGTTGATGTCTCTCTAGTTCTTTGTTACGGCATACACTGTCTCTCTGACATGTGAGAGAGCCTGTATTGTTGTTCTTCGTTTTGTTTCAAAGTCGAAATTTTTTTCATACTTCAGATGCTGTTCACCTGTTGCTTTATCTACTTTAAAGGGCTATATTAGTCTTATGAGCTGCGCATGTTCGGGAAATGGCTGTCAACGCACGACTTGCCTGTTCCAGGCGTTCAGATAGTGAAGTGCGGCATGAAGTGAGAGTATGTAAAAAACAAGGAGAGAGAGGAGGGAACAGGCTACACACGACCTTTAGAGGAATTTGTATAGGTAATAGCATGATTTGTAGTGATATTTGGCATAAATACCACGAGTGATATTTCGAAATTGTTATACATAATTTCACGAGCCGTTAGGCGAGTGAAATTTGAGACAATTTTGAAATATCACGAGTGATATTTATGCCAAATATCACATACAAATCATGCTATTATTTGTTTATACTACTACCCGCAAAAGGTTTGTAATTTTCACATGTAGGTATTTCAAATTAAGCTGAAATACCACTGCTCTAAGCCAATCAAACTGCAGAAATTTCTCATGTAGTAGTATAAAGGGCGTAATACATACTGAAAAGTTAGTTTAATTTTGGTAAATGGAAAGGGTGCTGCCAAGAAAGCTCTAAGAGACTCCACATGGTATAAGATCACGAACTCTGTTAAGATTCAGTAAAAGTCTCAGTAAGGCACTGTACGTGCCCCAGCTATAAAGATAAGCATTTCATATTAAAGTCGTTGCTAACGCTAATAACAATTCAACAACAGTACTTATTGAGCTATCATAAACTGAGATAAATTTAACGTAACAAGCTGCATGGTAAACGTTTAGGGCTATATGGATGGAAATACAGAACAAAGACATGATTGTAAATGGCACAAAAACGGATAGTATTTTCAGTTGCGACAATTGATTTGGTCGTTTTCAGTAGCAACACAATTTATATGTTCTTTACTAGGTACAAATTTGGCGCTCAAAAACATGCAGCTTTAAACTGAAGTTAACGTCAACGAGTCTCAAGCTATCACATCGAAATGGCAGGCCCTGAGTTCACGTTGCTAGAATTATAACTGTGTGAGTGAATCAGATGGTAACGATAATTTTATGTATTGAAAAGAACCCTTGTTAGCTTACCGACTAATTTGTTTTCTGTCCACCTGTAAACAGAATCGATACTTAATAAGCCTCCAGTTTGTCTGGAATAAATAGAGCGCTTTGGGGTAATTGAGCACACAGATCAATTAGCTGTTTAGACACATGGTCTTTCATGGGTTAAATAGCAAGTGAATTGAAGTGAATAGAACTCAAATGTGGCTGATATTCATATCCCACTTCTGTCTGCAATAATTTTTCTTTCACCCGCAAAAAAATATTTATCAAAAGGTCTTGATAGAAGCAAAAGACTAAAAAAGATGAATTAAAAGGTGGTTTAAAAGACAGTTTCATCTGATCATCAGTACGCGGTTAGAATGTATACGTTATTTTTCACGAAAACGAATGTTCCTCGTAAATAATTTGACGTCTATTTGCCATACCGTGCTTGCCACACTTTATTCCAATATTAACTATATTACTAATGATGAAGAAAATAAATTGCCTTCAGGGTCATTAAAATATATTATACTTATCCTTCCATTGATCCCAAAAATAACAGTTAACAGTGTTTTTTCTTGAAAATGACAAGAAAACACTACCAAAGGAAAAAACATTGAAAATGAAGATTCGATAATTCACAAACTTTTGGCTTGAAATTATTCATGAGTAAGAGTGAAAATTTGACACAAACAAAGAAAGAGAAATGCTTTTGCAAATATTTATCGAGCCAAAATGGGACCGCATGACACTTCATGTCGTTTTTTATTTGCATGGTAGAGTCTCAATTAGACGTTTCGCGCACTAAATTGCTACTGAACAGCGCGTTTTTTTCATGAAATCGATGACAACTTCCCGCAGTCAGCCACAAGAGAGCAGAATTATTATTGTGAGAGTGAAAAACAAATGGTAACCGGATTGAAATTTCATTAAAAATACTCTCGTTAGAGTAGAACCTTATTCGTTTTCTGTCTTCTATCAGTAATAAGGATAGTTTCTTAATAAGCCTCCCAATTTGTCTAAGATAAATACAGCCCTAAGGGGTAATTATTCAGTCAGATCGTTTAATTCATGAGTTGGCGAGTGAATTTAAATTTTCATAATTTCAAGGTAGCTACTGATCACCAACATCTGCCGCCTATATTAATATATAGTGTAACTGCATGGTGGTCTTTCTGCGCCAAAGTTCCAGGCATGAACGGTTGACACCTTACTTATCGCTCAAGAAAGTTGCAACTTACACATTTATTTTGTCCAGAAAGGTGAGGGCTTTTTAATCCCGCCAAAGAGCGTTGTACTCAAAGTAATAAATAGGCCCCGGGGAGGTACTCCCTTACAAGAGGCTTATAGGGACGTGCAGCTGGATGAGGTCGCATTTTCACCATTGGATTAACTATAATGGGGTAGCATTTTCAATAGAGTTACTAGAATGTAGTCGCAAATTTTCGGATTTTCGGGGTAAGTAGGGATTCAAAATGGGAAGATTCTCGGTTAAAAAATCAGAAAATTATTATCAAATTTCCCAATAAGCTTGCATTGACCGCGTTACATTCCGCCGCTAGAAACCACATTGATAAGGTAGATGTATAAATAGAAAGTGATTAAGTTGTGATCGCGAAAATTACATAGTCCAAAAAGCGACTAAGATGGGGTCTATAGTTGGCCACAAAATAGACTATAATGGGGTAGGGACTCTGAGAGGCCAGTGGCACATACCCAGCAAACACTATCCCAAGTACCCCCCCCCCCCCCCCCCCCCCCCCCCCCAGAAAAGACAGCAGACAACAAAAGGAGAAAAGGCAGGGAGGGAGCCTGACATCAAAATATTTTTGGCATTGTTCAAAAAAAAAACTTTTATACGCCACCTTCTACTTTTTTTTTTTTATATAGTGGCGGGGTGTGGGGAGGGATGGCAGATACGGTGTTCCCCCCCCCCCCCCCCCCCCCCCGGGTAAATAGGGACCTCAAGATTCGAGAACGAGGAATACTGCGAGGGCGAAATTCAACTTAACGTTTTTTCACAAATTCTCAAAAAATACACTTTTCGGAAAGCTCCTTTTGCTTTTTTTTTTCTTTCAACCAGAAAAGTTAATAAAACAATTATTGAAATTATTCAGATCTCGGAGAATGTTATCCACCTCGGCCGTAAGCCTCGGTGGATATCCTACTTAGCCTCATTCAAAAATTGCCAAATATTCTACCTTTAAGATTTTTCTTAACCAGAGTAAAACACTCTTTGACAAAGAACATACTGCTAGGGACATAGGACGTCATTCAAAATAACCGCTATCTTGGATTTTTCTGAAAATTCATATTTGAACACGTTCTGTTACGATAGTTTAAGACTTTTATTTAAAGTACCCAAACCTATCTTGAAATTGAAAGGCAGAGCGGTATTCAACAATTTCGCATAGTTGAGTGAAATATTACGGGCAATGTGAGTTTAAAACAGCGATTTATGGAACATGCAGGCTATATTTTCCAAAATGCAGGCACCAACACTTCGCAAAAGAATTGGGACTCAAGGATTTTTTTTTTCTTGCTCGAGGCCTAAAATGTGTTCCCATCCTGTTTCGCTATGAAAACTAGAGAAAAAATAGTCCAGTCTAAGTCAAGGGCTGAATGGGTGTTAGTGCTGCTGTGGTGGGTTACGATGGCTCTTCCAAGAAGCTGAAAGTTTGAGTCTTTAAGCCAAGAAAATTCATTATACTGGGATGATATACTGGGATGAGTAATAAAGAGAAAATGCGGAAAAGTTGTTGACAGCTCTAAAGGCGGCCTAATTAAATTTTAAACTATTTTTTAATACAGGGTAAAGTTTGCTTATCACAACTAATGTTTCCCAGGGTACCTAAAGATTACGTTTTGCTAATAACATAAAACTGCAAAATGTTCACGAATCTTGTCTACAGAATTTCACTTGTTTTTACTGCCTGTGTAAGTATACTACCGATAACAAAAAAAAA